GTTGTACCAGTACCAGGCTGTTTTGACTACTGTAGCTGTATAGTAGGTTCTGAGGTCAGGTACTGTGAGTTCTCCAACTTTATTCTTCTTCTTCAGTAGTGCTTTACTTATTCGGGGCTTCTTCCCCCTCCATACAAAGCCAATGATTAGTTTTTCCATCTCTTTGAAGAATGTTGTTGATATTTGGATCGGGATTGCATTTCTCTGGTTTTTATGGTGCCTCTTGTATTTTCTGACTTTATGTTCTGTTCAGGCACACATTGCTGAACAGATTATGTATAAGATAGTTGGATTTTTTTTCTTCAGCACAATATATCACAGAAGAGAAGAGTTATGTTTTTAAAGTTTTTAGGATTTCAGTAGCAGGTTAAAAAAAAAAGTTTAAGATAAGTCAGGTGTTGAGAGCAACATATTATTTCTTTTCCAAACTCACTGGTGTCTTCATTGTTTCTCATAGCTAACTGCTCTCTGCAAGCACCTAGACAATCTGTGGGAAGAACACCGTGGCAACGTAGTCCTGTTTGCCTGGATTCAATTTCTTAAGGAAGAGACCCTCACATGTCTGAACATCACCTCTCCCTTTGAGCTCAAATTTGGTTCTCAGGGAAACATGAATAGAAGAACAGCCGCAGCCCCTCCCAAAAGAGAGTTATGTCTTGGAGGAGCAACTGACTCTGAAAAAGGCGAAGAGGAAGCTGTGGATGTGAAATCATTGTCAACTCTGCTCCAGGAAGTCTTGGACTTTGATCAAGCTCAGCAGAAAAAGTGCTTTAACAAAAAAGCACACCAATGCAATATCTGTTTCTCTATCAAGCTTGGCAGTGAGTGCATGTACTTCTTGGATTGCAAGCATGTGTACTGCAGGGTCTGTCTGAAAGACTATTTCGAGGTCCAGATAAAGGATGGACGGGTTCACTGTCTCAACTGTCCAGAACCAAAGTGCCCTTCGGTGGCTACCCATAATCAGGTAACTACTGATGCTGCTGGCAACTTGCATCCCAATTCTGTTTCCCCAGTGGGAGCCTGCTTCTCAAGAGCTTCCTTTATGGGGTTCACCAGGATGTTCCTAGGCCTGCAGCCATTTCTTAGTTGGTTCCCCATATCCAGCAAGAATGCTGCTTTGATCTCACGTTAGGGTTTAAGGAAATGTAACCCCCCTCTGCTGGCCTTGGAATCAGCAGTTCTTGGCTGGAACAAGGGTTATTTTTAATTCTGAGAATTTACTTTGTAAACCTGCAGAAGTACCATCCTATATGAGGACTCCAGCATTTCTTATTGTGAGCTTAGTGTCTGTGGCCCACACCCATTAGACAGGTTAACCTGATTATTGATAGGATTTAAGAAGAGTCGGAATCAATTCGACAGCAAAGCAAAGGACAGCCATACTTGCTTGGAATTTGAAGTGACAGGGTTTTAAATGTCTGTGCACCTGAACTGGACCAGAATCTTAAGGATTTCCCTGGGTGTAGAATCAGAGTTAGAACTGGATGAGAAGTCATTCAACCTGTTATTGGTCCTGTCTCCCTCCAGGTTAAAGAACTGGTGCAAGAGGAATTATTTGCACGTTATGACCACCTTCTCCTCCAGTCCTCCTTGGACCTGATGGGGAACGTAGTGACTTGCCCCCGGCCGTTCTGCCAGCTGCCTGTGATAGAGGAGCCAGACTCTAGGATGGGAATGTGTGCTGGCTGCAGTTATGTCTTCTGTACTCTGTGCTGCCTGGCCTACCATGGGATTTCTCCGTGTAAGATGACGCCAGGTAAGTTGGGATGTGTGAACTGTAACTTTGAAAACAAGGTAAGACAGAAAAGAAGGCTTTTTCATTTTAATGGTGATTTTAGTTCAACAGATACTTATATGCCAAGCACCGTTCTAGGTTCTGAGTATACGGTGGTGATCAAAACATGATGGCAGCTTACTTCTTCAAAATCAGCAAGGAGAGTCTCTCTCTCCAGTCTGCTAGGATGGAATCTTGTATGAGGTAACATAATTGGGAGTGAGATCCCAGCACTTTAGCCATATTACTCAACTTAATAAAGGGAGTGATATTCCATCACCTTTGCCATATTCTGTTGGTTAGAAGCAAGTCACGGGTCCCACTAACACTCAAGGGGGAGGATTATACAGGGTGTGAACATGGGGGCCACCCTAGGATTTGTCTGCTGCAGCCTGCTCTCTGGTCCCCAGTGATTCACATCTATCCTGTGCATAAAATTACATTCAGTGCCTCCCAAGTTTTGCATCCTTTGCCATCTGGAGGCTGAGAATTTTCAAAATCATCAAGTCCTGTTTCCTTTTTGCTTAACAGTTTTTCTCTCAAATGTATCTCTTTCCTCTCTCATTGTATTATAAACAGCAAGAAAAACCAGACAGCATTCTCAACACTTTGCTTGGAAATCTTAACTATATAATCAAAGCCATCGCTTATAGGTTCTACTTGCTGCATATCTGTAGGAGACAATTTTGCTAAGCTTTGTGCCACTACAAGGGTGGAAACTAGGATCTTCCTTCCTCCACTTTCCAGTAACATGTTGCTCACTTCCTTCTGAACCTACACCAGCAGGTCCTTAAAGTCTAGATTTCCACTAAGAGTCTGTAAATGGTGATTTAGGCTTTCTCTATCACGTGCCTCCAAGTTCTTTCAGCCTCTGCCCACTGCCCAGTTCCAAAGCAACTCCCACATCTTGAGGTATTTGTTAGTGTGGAAAGCTCCAGGAAATGCTCATCACACAAACTGGGATGCAGTGGCCTCCGAAGAACATGGGGAATGTAAACTGAATAATCTGAAACCAAGGAATAGTTTACAGAAAGCTTCGATATTAATAAATGATGTGGGAAAATTAGGTTAATAGAATTGTGGAGGCGGCACATTTTTCTACAAGCAAGGCCTTTGGAGAAGATTGTCATTTCCATTTGAGTTTAGTGAATGTGGAATAGAAGCCAGGTTGAAGAGTATCAAGGAAAACAGGTTGACAGGCAGAGCCTTTCAACACTTTTACGAAGTATAGTGGAGGATGGTAAAGTTAATTCACTGACTCTTATGTACAGAATTGAGCAGAGAGTCTGTGCCCATATGCCATTGCACTTTTGTGTCTTTGTGCAACTGCGTTCATTCTGAGGAGAATACCTGGCACTGACCCAGTGGAGAAATGGGCAAACATGTTTGTTTCAACTTTTGCCTCTTTACCTTGTACTATCAGTTGCACAAACATATTAACATTAGTAAACAATAATCAAAGGAAAATATGATTTATTATTCTGCTGTCTCTGGAAAGTCAAAATTGTCATGTTGGTGGCTCCCCTGTTTTTCTTTGTCGTTTGTGCCTACGTCATTCTTACATAGTTACAGCCCACGTACCGTTTTTTCTCATTTTCATCATGAGAATCTTAATTCGGCTATAGCCATCCAAATCAAAATCTTTTAGGGAATGAGTAATATTCTATTACATGGCTCTGCCACACTTAGTTATCCTTTAGTCACAGGCGTGGAGATGCATGTAACTAAAGCAGTGTAACTGGTGTTTTTTTCTTTGTGATAAAGTGCTTGGAATGACACCACCAAGTCAAAGGGTATGGTGATTTTAATTGGCTTTTATTCAGCTTTGCAAACATCTATGAAAGTTAATTTTCCACTTCATGTTCTAGAGAAGCTAATGCCATTACAGAAGGAATACCGGCATGCAGATAAAGCCGGAAAAAAGCTTTTGGAGCAGAAGTGTGGTAAGAGGGTAATTCAGATGGCACTGGAAGAGATGAAAAGTACCAAGTGGCTGGAAAAGAAGTCAAAATTCTGCCCAAATTGTGGGACTCGTATAGAAGCTCACAAGTAGATGCACAAGCATGTTTCTCTTTCCCTGATATATAGGAGACCGTTAGGCAGTGTTATGACTTATTTAGAAGACATTTCGGGGTATTTATTAAGACTTCTTTCTTGATAGATGAAAATTCCCCACCAGATAATCTTTTTGTACTCAAAGGGTCTGAGACTTCACATTAAAAAGGTGCTATCACGTGCATGTATAGGTGTATCTGGAGGCATGTGTATATACACGTTTTTATGTGCTGCATATATACCCATATATATACTAAAGCACATAAGGGGCACAGTTATGGAGGCTTCCTAGACATATCCAGACAACTCATGGGATTGGTTTTTTGGGTCAGAAGGCTTGGGACCACAGTCTCGGGGGACAGCTTAGTCAATTGGCATAACATAGTTCACAAAGATAATGTTCTACATCCTAGTTTGGTGAGTAGCGTCTGGGGTCTTAAAAGCTTGTGAGCAGCCATCTAAGATACAACTATTGGTCTCTACTTATATGGAGCAAAAAAGAATGAAGGAAATCAAAGGCTCAAAGAAGAAACTAGTCCACGAGACAGCCCACACAAACCACAGCTCTTCTAACCTGAAACCAGAAGAACTAGATGATGCCTGGTTACCACTACTGACCATTCTGACCAGGGACACAATAGAAGTTCCTGGACAGAATGGAAGAACGATGTAGAACAAAACTCAGATTCCTAAAAAAGGCTAGACCTACTGGGCCAAGAGACTAGAGGAACCCCTGAGACTATCTCCCTAAAATAACCTTTGAACGTGGAACTGAAGCTATTTCTGCAGGTCACCTTTCAGCCAAATAATAGATTGGCTTAGAAAATAAACAGTATCACCCATGAGTAATGTGCTCCATTAAATAATTATCTATATGAGACCAAATGGTCAACATTTACGCAAAAGCAAAGGTGAGAAGGCAAGGAGGGGAAGGGAAGCTAGATAAATAGAAACAGAACAAACAGAATGGAAATAATGAGAATGCTAACACATTGTAAAAATTGTAACCAGTGGCATGGAACAATTTGTATTAAAATTGTTAAAGGGGAACCTAATTTGCTGTGTAAACTTTAACCTACAACACAATAAAATATTTAAAAATAAATCAAAAGGTGCTATCATAACTGTAACAACAACAATAACATCACAATTGTTACATAATTTGCCATTGATTGTTTGGAACATCACATCCATTCAAAATCACAGGGCTAAAGAAGAGGCCAAATGGCAATCATGGTCTACTCTTACGTATACGGGGATTTTATTTATTTATTTTTATTGTACTTTAGATGAAGGTTTACAGAGCAAATTAGTTTCTCATTAAACAATTAAGACACATTGTTTTGTGACATTGGTTGCTAAACCCACATGTCAACACTCTCCCTTCTCGACCTTGGGTTCCCCATTACCAGCTTTCCTGTCCCCTCCTGCCTTCTCGTCCTTGCTCCGGGGCTGGTGTGCCCATTTAGTCTCGTTTTGTTTTATAGTCCTGTCTAATCTTTGACTGAAGGGTGAACCTCAGGAGTGACTTTATTACTGAGCTAAAAGGGTGTCCGAAGGGCCATATTCTCAGGGTTTCTCTAGTCTCTGTCAGGTCAGTAAGTCTGGTCTTTTTTTGTGAGTTAGAATTTTGTTCTACATTTTTCTCCAGCTCTGTCTGGGACCCTGTGTCATGATCCCTGTCAGAACAGTCAGTGATGGTAGCTGGGCACCATCTAGTTGTGCTGGACTCGGTCTGGTGGAGGCTGTGGTACTTGTGGTCCATTAGTCCTTTGTACTAATCTTTCCCTTGTGTCTTTGGGTTTTCTTCATTCTCCCTTACTAATTTGAGACCAGTGGACTATCTTAGATGGCAGCTCACAAGCTTTTGAGACTCCAGACGCTACTCACCAAAGTAAGATGTAGAAAATTTTCTTTATAAACTATGTTAAGCCAGTTGACCTAGACGTCCGTATATGGGGATTTTAAACACACTGCCACACATAAACACATGTCTGACTTTTTTTTTTTCTTAGACCTGTTTATTCTGGGATATAGCACCCCTTGTCTGGGGCTCTGGAAATGCAGACATTTTTGTTTACCTGAGCAGGTCAATCTGTTGCTGCTTAAAAAAAGAACCTTAATTCTTCAATCCAAATGTAATGATGCTTATTTTTTATTTTGCTCTTCTGTTCTATTACGATTAAACTCTTATCTAACGATGATTCCCCAATTACCCAACTGAGGAAGTTGTCATTAGACTTAATCACTTAATGTTATGCATTAGCACTGTGATACAGTGGAGGACTTGGCACCAGGTGTTTACTGGGATTTCTTAAACATTTACCATTTTAAAATCGTGTTTCAAATATAAGCGATTTTCAATTCTAGCCCAAATCTATAACTACATACGCCATTTTGAACATACATGTTAGGTTTGTACCTACTGCTTATCAGCAAGTTTTCTAAGTATCTATTTGTAGGAGTAGTTACTAAATATTTTTTGTTTTATTAGCCACACAAAATATTAAGCATTAAATAAAATATATTTGTCATGTTTCCTGTGAGTATACACAGACGTCCTCGGACACAATAGTAATTTTTTGGTGCATAATTTGCAGAACACAAATCTGGTGCTTCCTCTTAAATGTATTACTAGTATGTGATATTTTATAGATTTTTATTGGAAATGTATTTTATAATGGGAACATATACCACATCTGGAAATATTTATTTTTATACCGTTGTGCCCCATTTATTTTCATTGTCAGTTTTTTTTCAAAGACATAGGAAAGTTGAAGGAATACTACAATGAAGTGCCTGGCACCTTCCACATATATTTCCAATTATTAAAAATGTTGCTGTATTTTACCATTTTTTTTCTCGCTCCCTCCCTCTACCTGTCCCCTCCTCCTCTCCCTCCCTTGCTTCTAATGAGCATTCTGGCTGTGCAGTCTCCAGTGTAACAGCTCTCCTCGTTTCCTTCTGAGCCCTCCCCAGACTTGCCTTTGACGTCCATAATTCCACCAACAGTCTCTTCAAGGCAATCTAAGCGTTTACTGTTAGGCACTTTAAAACTCTTCCAGCCTCTGCTCATTCACGGTTTCAAAACAGCTCCCACATTTTAGGTATCTGTTAGAGCAGTACCCCACTCCCATTACCAAATTCTGTCTTAGTTATCTAGTGCTGCTATAACAGAAATACGGCAAGTGGATGACTTTAACAAAGAGAAATTTTTTCTTTCACAGTCTGGGAGGCTAGAAGTCTGAATTCAGGGTACCAGCTTCAGGGAAAGGCTTTCTGTCTTTGTCAGCTCCAGGGGAAGGTCCTTTGTCATCAATCTTCCCCTGATCTAGGAGCTTCTCAGTGCAGGAACCCCAGGACCGAAGGACACAATCTGCTCCTGGCGCTGCTTTCTTGGTGATAGGAGGTTCCCCTGTCTCTCTGCTTGCTTCTCTCTTTCTCTAAAGAGATTGATTTAAGACAAAACCTAGTCTTGTAGATGGAGTCCTGCCTCATTAACATAACTGCTGCTAATACCACCTCATTAACATCATAGAGGTAGGATTTACAACACATAAGAAAATCACATCAGATGACAAAATGGTAGACAATCACTCAGTATTGGGAATCATGGCCTAGCCAAGTTGACACATATTTTTGGGGAACACAGTTCAATCCATGACACTTGGCATAATAGACCATATGATTCTCTGATTCAAAATGGCCAATACTAGTCCATTTTGGCTCACTAATGCCTAGGATATCAATCTTTATGTGTTCCATTTCATTTTTGACAACTTCCAATTTTCCTAGATTCATACTTCCTACATTCTACATTCCAATTATTAATGGATGTTTCAGCTGTTTCTTCTCATTTTGTGCCACAAGGAGCAAATGAAGGTACCAAAAGCTTTACTCCATCCACGTTATTAAAGTCAACTCTACTTTGAGGTGGCAGCTCTTCCTCAGTCGTATTTTGAGTGACTTCAACCTGTGAGACTAATCTTCTGGCACTGTATCAGACAATGTTCTGCTGCTATTCATGAGATTTTCACTGGCCGATTTTTTTTAGAAGTTGTTTTAGTCATTTAGTGCCGCTATAACAGAAATACTACAAGTACATGGCTTTAACAAAGACAGAGTTTATTCTCTCACAGCCTAGTAGGCTTGAAGTCCAAATTCAGGGTGTCACCTCCAGGGGAAGGTTTTCTCTTCTCTGTTGGCTGTGGTGGAAGGTCCTTGTCATCAGTCTGCCCCTGGACTAGGAGCTTCTCTGCATAGGAACCTTGGGTCCAGAGTACACACTCTGCTCCCGGTACTGCTTTCTTGGTGATATGAGGTCCCCCACTCTGCTTGCTTCCCTTTCCTTTTATCTCTTGTAAGATAAAAGGTGGTGCAGGCCACATCCCAGGGAAACTCCCTTTACATTGGATCAGGGATGTGACCTTAGTAAGGGTGTTACAATCCCACCCTAATCCTCTTTAACATAAAATTACAATCACAAAATGGAGGACAGTCACACAGTACTGGGAATCATGGCCCAACCGAATTGATACACATTTTTGGGGGGACATAATTCAATCCATGACAGAAATGGAATGCCAGGTCCTTCTTCCTAGTCTGTCTTAGTCTGGAATCTCTTCTGAAACCTATCTGCCATGGGTGACCCTGCTGGTATTTGAAATACCGGTGGCATAGCTTGCAGCATCACAGCAACACACAAGTCACCATAGTATGGCAAACTGACAGACATGTATGTACAAGCATGTATAGAGCCTCTGCAATTTTACCTCTTGTGGTAGGGGCAGTATAAGAGAGGTTGAAAAAACAAGCCCCACACGTGAAGTACTGAAAGTCTAGTGTGGGGAATAGCATACATTTTAGGAAATGTAAGTGAAGACGACATTGGTGGTTCAGTGGTAGAATTCTAACTTTCTGTGCTGGAGACCTGGGTTCGATTTCTGGCCAATGCACCTCATAAGCAGCCACCACCCATCTGTCTGTAGAGGCTTGCAT